TTTTTTTTTATGGTACTGACTGTTTTTAAATTCTTAGAATCTCGATAGAATGCTTAGGTTGAAAAATAAAAATAATAATAAAGCAAAATAACGGTTACATGAAGTACTGAATGAAATACAATTGATTGTTGTAATTTTGATGTGTAACCGAATGACAAACACGTATTGTAATATATTCAAACAGTGGCGGTCATAGAGGGAGGTTACCAGGTATTAAACATTAAAAAAGGTCTTCATCCACCAATACATTTGAACGCCACTGTTTTCATAATTAACCCTCGATTAACCTTCAATACCTTAATATCTGGCATATCGATCTTTAAGTTTAAATGCCAGACAAATTTGATATAAAAATAATGAATACATGACAGATTATTCAAGAAGAAATGTTCCAAGAGAAATTACCTAGAAAAATGTTTGTTTATTTTTTTGTGATAAAATAGTAGTACTGTAAATGCTATACTACCGGAAAATTAAATCTTATTACCTCCGTAGTTATTAGTTATGTTTAAAAGCAGAATATTTAAATTAATAAAACGTTTATASCATATGTATTTTTAATGCTATATAATATTTTTAAAAATCTAATGAAATTTCTAATTTTTACACACTTTAAGTAAAAATCTAAGGTTTTTATTRAAAATAAAAAGTAAAATTAAATTTTTAAATTTCAAAAATGCCTGATTASAAATTTTTTGATTGTTAAATTTCTGTGATTTCACATTACTATTTATTGGTGATAATAAATTTCACTTGAAGTAGTAAAAAGAACAGTATCAACAATACAATTTAGAAAAATTTCCTTTGGAGAAAAATTTTATTTTGTGTTAGGTTTGCGTTGATATCCAATCATGGTAAATAAATATCACCACGCTATGGGTATGGAATATTATGGGTTCGTCATCGACTCAGAAAAAATACCTCAGTCCATTATACACTGAGATAATATATTTTAGACGAGCCATTTTTTCGTTCAGGTTATTTAATACCTTGTGTTAACAATAGAATATTAATTTGCATAATATTTTGAACAAACACACACACACACACACACAAGTATACCTATATAGTCATAAAAAAAAACCTTTGGCGTACCTACCATGAAATTTTCTTTAAGTAATCTTCCATAAAGCAGTACCTAGTTATATATTATTATATTATAATACAGTGTACGGGAACGCGAAAAGGTCAGAGTAATATTATCTAGAGGAAAAATATGTTTTAGTCTCGAAATTAGATTTTCACATTCACCTACTACACACCTATATGGGTTTGGTATAATATAATAATATACTTGTGCGGCATTTACACAGAAAAAAAAACTTTGCTCGATTTTCGCGGGGGGAGGAGCTAAAAGATGAAAACCCATTAACGATATTACAGTTGATAATGAACACAAATCGTATACYTATATAATATACGTGTTACACACGTATGTGTGCATAATCATATAACATAATATGTGTGTGCGTGTGGGCATGTACAAAGTTATATAAAACCGTCTCGGTATTCAATCAAGTCGAAGCGGAATTTCATTATACCCATACGTGATATCCGTGATTTTTGTAGAATCAAGCACAATATACTAAACGTGTATATAGAGGTGTACGTCGCAGACGTGATAATATTACGTTTTAGACCCTATATAACGAATGGAACTTTTTTTTTTATTATAATTTTTTTTTAAATGCAATTTTTCCCTTACCCGATTTCCTCTTGGAGAAACAGCACGAATGGGAGTACGCAAACTGAAAAGTGCCGGCCAATAGGGACCCCAGATTGGATATGCACAGCAACATTAGYGGTACGCCGAATAACGCGTAGATCATAGTAACGATTTTGCCTTCTGGTGTTTTTGGTGCCAAATTGCCGTATCCTGAAAAAAATACACTCGTTATATGAATAAATATACTCATAAAAAATCGATTAAAAGAATTTTAGAGACAAYTACGTTTTATAAACCATTCAGGTTAACATAATATTTTGAAAAATTAAATAAAAAACAATGTTCAATATTGATTCTTGCACTACTATATCTTTATCATCGAGATACGTATTTCACAATTTCACATAAAAATGTAAGTATAGCAGTAAACACCCATCATCTAGAA